AGAAAAGAACAGAAAAAAGAACACCCTCCTTTTAGGAGTGTCAAAAACTCACAATTTTCTACCTACCATTAATTTTCAAGGCTCCAAAATATACAGCATTTTGTAAACACAACGTGGCTAGCCGTAATATTGCTGTATCAGTGTAACAATGTAGTCACACTTCATGTTTTTGAAATTAAAAGGTTACTGATACCAGAGCAAGCGAGTGTAAAGCTTGCTCAGCTTGTGTGTCTGCACTGCAACTCTTGCTGCATTGTAAATACTTTCCAGTTCACTTACAGAATTCTTGAATTTGTAAAAAAAATCAGGAAATCACAGATTTGTAACGTGCAAGCTTAAAAACTGCCTCTGTGTGTTACACTGGTTGAGGCCTTAGGAATCTGCCCTGCATAGCTTGAAGATGTTCACCTTCCTAACGATACAGCTTTCCCTCTGACATTCCCTGCCCAAGACTCTCGCGTCATCCGGTACGTTTGCTCTGTCCATCAATCTGGCAACATCTGAGCCCCCCCTACCATTCTCTTCTAAAAACCACTGCCTCTTCCGTGACTCTTCCCCAGCCATCAGTGGTTTTGTTTTGCACTAAAAATTGGGTGATGCGCTCCAATGTTATTTGCAAGGAAGCTTTCCAGAATTTGTAGTCATCAGTATTGTGTCCAAAAAAAAAAAAATAAGCCTACTGAAGTACATGCTTTGTAAGTTTATGAAACCAACCACTTACAAATTTTTATGGTTACTGATGCGGAATGATGCCAGGGGTGAGGTGGGAGATTGTAAAATATGTGTCTATATATACATATATATGTGTGCCCACATACATACAGAGAGAGAGAGAGAGAGATACACAAACATTTTTAGTAATGCTATAACCTCAGGTGATCTAGTGGCTTTAGTGGCTTCTGGGTGGTATTCTCTATATAGTACATTTGGGGTTTATTTCAGTTAATAAAACCTCATTTTCCCCATGAAAAAAAGAAAAATTGTAGATCCAAGCGAAGTTCAGATTTGATCTCCGATTTTTTTAAGCTTTCAATGCCAGGCTTTGAGACCAAGAAGTTGTTCTATGGGCTTCGGCTTGTGGGATTGAGATTCTTACCTTAAGCAAACCATCTGGTTGAGGTGCTTCACTAGTGTCTGACATTTTCTTGCCTTTGCTCATGGTAACTGTGTAACTGCCAAGGGTTTTACTTTAAGCAAAATCAAAAGCTAACTTGAAGAATTAGTGTCTGTTCAGTTATCTTCCTAAGAAAACCTCAGACATTTCAGTAACTCCTCCATTAGACCAAAATCCTTACTCGGGTAATTGTGAGCCGTTCGGTAAAGGGAGTGGCATACTGGCAGTTAAAGAGGATTCCCAACCCAGGCTGCCTGCTTAGATGAGGGTTGCTGAAGAATAACTGAAATGAGCATGAGGAATTGCGGCCCAAGAAGAGCAGTCTGCAATACAAATACATCTGTGGCAGCATGAATGCAGCGTGCTTCATATTTATTCTTTCTAGTTAATATGAAGGCACATCAGCTTGCTTGCCCCATGCATGTTTGGTGCTACATTTCATTGTACCTGCATGAAGTTAGATACTTTCCCTGCCCAGGGACAGTAAATGCTAGTGATAATCGCAGAATTTTGGTTTATGGCAATGCCTTTTCCACGTGTCTCTGACCAGAGTAATTAATGGGATCTTCTCTATGTCCTAAACATGCGAGAGGCACACCAAGATAAAATAACAGCAGCACGTTTTGCCTTTGGTTTCTGCTTGAGGGTGTGCTCTTGGAGTGGGGGCTGCTCTCCAGGACTAGTCTCACTGCCTAGTGGGAGAGAGATGGCATAACTGAATCAGGTGTAACTGTTGGCTTACAAGAGCTGAAGCTGTATGCAAAATACCAAGATACTCGCAGTGATATCGTGAGAGTTTAGTGTTGAGTGACTATACTGTACAGATATTTTTTCTGATAAACCTGTTTTTTTTTCCCGTATACTGTCCATTGTCTGAAAATCATCTTTTGGGATGCCTAAAATATCCCAGTGTTTCATCACTCAAAATGTTCTGCTCTATTTTTACTCGGTACAAAATCCTGGTGTTGAAGCTTCCTGCTGTAATGCTCTACATGTTCATTCTCTTCACATAATGAGCATGTGTTTTGAAGCAGTTGCTTTTCAAGGTCAATGCCTTTCCAGACAACTGTACTGCGACATGAGTCATAGGAGTTAATGACATAATCCAATTGGTATAAAAACACTGACTTTTGGGTAAGCAGCAATTGAAAACGAGCCCCTTATTTTTTTCCTCTGTCTGGTTACTGTAGTCATAAACAGGAAATGATAGTGCAGAATTTCACTTCTCTCTGCTCTCAGGAGCAGTTTTCTCGTCCAGCTTCACTGGGACAAAGAAAAGAACGTACACGGTTGAATCTCCACCTAAAAGTCTGGCAAAAAATTTCCCAAGCTTTATACTGACAATTAAGTTCACCTTTAACAGTACATCTCCGTTTTGGACTAGGCTTTGAAATGGAAAAGCCATAGCCAGACACTGAAAAATTTTAAAGGACGTTGTAGGGTTACAACATGGGGACTTGCTTACGGTCTGATACGGGTTCCTCAGTGGACAACACAGTCGCTGGGCTGGTAATTCACACTGGGGCTGTGGTTTGGGGCATGTCAGCAGGTGTGGATGCACGGTAGCTCATTTGGAGAAAGGCTTGGAAGACTCTCAGCCCCATTCACGTGACTTTCAGAGTACAAGCAGGATACGTGGGGTGCATGCTTTCCTCTGACTTTTATAAGAAATTGACTAAATATCATTTAGTAAATAATTTGGTAGGTGTTTTGTCTGTGTTAAGTCAGTCTGGTGAGTTCATCGAATCGGCACAGCTGTCAGTAGTCTGTACTCTCGGGCTTTCTTCTTGGTGCTTTATGTGACTAACACAAGACCGCCTTACTGCTGTTACGCAGTCATACCGAGTACAGGGACAGAAACAAGAATCCTTAGCAATCCAGTATATTTAAGATATCTGCTGTAAATCTAATGATTAGATTAAACTAGAGATTTTTCCTGCAGCATTGTAATTTTCACGTTAAATTTATGCTGTTGTGCACCTGGATCTAGATAGAAGTTCCAAAAATCTAAATTAAGAACACTTCCACCATCCTTTCTGCCCGTAAATCTTTTTCTAATCCCATTCTCTTACTCAACAATTGTGCTTCACTGCAGCATTTGAACACTGCATGCGTTTCTGTTTAGAGCCCAGGTAGCGTTTCAAGCTTGAGGTGGTTTTGTGTAGAAATTGAGGAATTGATGAAACTACCCATCAGAGTGAAGATACGGATCAATAAGGAGGATTACTCCAGTGATTCCTACCCCAATTACATGTTTCACGTTTGCTTGGAAAAAACAACGTCAGCTTGGCATGTAGTAGCAGCTGAATCACCAGCTGATAGCATCCCATTTAGAGCCAGAATTAGAAGCTGAAGATAACTATAGGAGACAGCTAAGTGTTGCTACATTACAGTTGCTCCAGGAAAAGCTGCTCCTCTTTGTCATCCAGAGCCCTTGGAACTGTGGCTTTCCTTTAGGTTGTTCATCAAAACAATGGCATAATTTTGGGGTTTTTTCGTACAATTTAAGACTGAAAAAGGGCTATTAAATCACCTTTATTAAATGACTTTCTGTCTGTTAGTCACCACTAAATGTAACCTGTCTGGTGGGGTCCGGGCCCAGCGGCATGCCTGACTAATGTGTCTCTCCCAGCAGAGTGTGCGGGCCTGGTTAAAAATGTCAAAGATGGGAAATCTGCTTCTTTCACTAAGGAGTTTATTTCAGCAGTTAATGATTCTTGCTGTTGAAATCAGTGCCCTTACTTCTAATACAACTTCTCTGGCTTCATCGTCCACCTACTTGTTCTGGTTTTTGTAGCTTTGCCCTTTGCTTAAAAGACCCTTCTAGTGCTCTCTAATTTATTCCTGGAAAAATGCTTGTGCGCCGCAGTCAAGGAAACTGAATGTTGGGACTGATTTGGCTGTGTTTTTTAACATATATAAGAGTTTGAAATCTGACTCTTTTAATGTAGACCATTGTTCCTGAACTTATTTCTGCACCATTTCCAATTTTCAAACCGTTCTGAAGGGCACTAGAACTGCATTCAGCTACATCTCGCCGATGTCTTACGTAAACCATCTTTTTACCCCATATGAGTACTTTGCATACATCGTTTACTGTGTATTCTTAAAGTAACATGTTATTTATCAGCTGTAGTTAATTAAGCTGTGTAGACAAGTTAAAAGGTGGAAATTGGATCTGCAGGCAAATCACCTGTTCCACTTTCGGGTCATCTTCTTTTGCCAGCACTCTCTCACCCACGCATAATAAACTAACTGAAGTTTTTAAGTTGAAACGGACAACAGTAGATCCCCGGCTTCCCCAGTGATAAATTTGGAACCATGTCAGCAAAGGTCAGGAAGTTTGACTGAAATGGGTTTTCTCTGGTGAACTTTGCAACTCCTGGCTCTCCAGCAAGCAGTGGATAAACTGGACCTGTGCTTTTATACCTCACCACCATTTGTATGTTCTCTCAGATATGATTTTCATGTTTCAAAAAGGCCTTGTGTGTGATATTTTGGTTTGAATATTAAATTCTGGCTTAAAAAAAATATAATAATACGTGCATGCTTTCCTTTCCCCCAAATAACTATTCACTGGTTTGAGCTAAACATTTTACCCCAATACTGTGTTCCTCCTGTCCCATCTAATAAGACTATCCAGTGTTTGCACAGTAACCCTTGAACCAATGAATGCTAAAACATAAATAATATTTTTGTTTTAATCAGTAATTTGCATTCTTTGGTATTAAATCTCATTATTACACAGAATTTGCATACTCTCAGAATAAAATCTCTCTCACAATACCTTATTTCATGTTTAGGAAAAGTCCTGAAAACCTTAACAGTCACTCAGAACAGCTCAAGGAGAAAGAAAAGCAAGGGTTTTTCAGGGCAATAAAAAAGAAAAAGAAGAAATCCCAAACTGTAAGTATACAGCATTTCTGAAAAAATATGTTTTTCAGTTTTGAATTATACCATTTAATATATTCAATTAGTACAGTGTCTTTGTATTATTTGTGAAAATGCCTGACTGCATCTGCTTGTTCTTTTGTCTCTTCACTATATGAAAGTCAAATTCTTTCCCTGCGCCGGGTTTATTTATCTGCCTTTTCAAATATTTCTTTACCTACTGGTCCTGTGCATCTTTGTTTTCATGCAGACCCTTTGAGACCCAGTTTTGTTGCAAGTTTTAAGCTGATGTTACAGCAAATTCTTTTGCAGGGTATGGTGACACTGTTCCAAGAATAGCAAATGCATTATTGTGTGTCCTCAGAGCTTGAGTAATTGCAGATGCCCCTGAGGAGGAGATCAAACTGTTACAAATGAGAATTCTTTCCAGTCTTTTTCATGGCAGTGCCTCGGTAACAGCCTTCGTCTTGCTGTACCTCGTGGTGGGAATAAGGATGATGCATCTTGACCATTCTTAATGTTTTGTTAGGGGAAAGGATTGTGGCTTTTGTCACTTGGTTTAGGCCTTTGGTGTGTTTTTGTCATTTGGTTTAGGCTTTTGGTGTGTTTTATACATTTTTACATTTTCATTGAGTTTCTGGGAGGTAGAAGGAACTTTCTTTTATCAGAGGGCAATGATGGTATCTCAGCATTTCACAAAGTTTTATAATGAAAATCCTCCTAAGAACTGGAGTAGCCTGAACATCATCTCATCTCATTCTCAGATGACAGTTCTAGAAACTGTAAAATACTTAAAATTTCATTTACATAAGGTTTGGTTTACAGAATTTAAGACTGCAGGCACTTTATCTTAACTTACGGCTAGTAAGTGTGGGCTTGCAATTCTCAAGCAGGCCACCAGAAGCCGATCTTCTGAACATTTCAGTGTTTTTTCATTATTACAGTAGTACGTTACTAAAACTTAGGTGCAAAATACTTTCGTAAATAAAAGTTTTTCCTTTTCTGTTACCTGTTCTTTTCTGTGTGCTTCGTTCTGACAATTCACTTGAGCAATGAGATCTGGATGGTAAAACTAAGAATTCTACCAAACTTTTCACTTCTTTTTTAAGATGGGCTTTTCATGAAAGTAGGATTTTATTGTTAACCTGTAGTAACAGTAATGTCTTATTTGATATTGGTATTGTCTCAGATGCTCTTAGTGTACAAATAAGAGGATAAATTTCAGACGATCTGGAATCTGAAATCAACCTGTGTTTTATCTAGCAGAGGGATCACCATCTCCAGTAGTCATGCATGCCCTGCTTTTCAGAGGAGCTTACTTTAATTGCCCACAACAGGTTTTGTTTTAAGAACTTGATGCCGTTCAGATGTCGAGTTGCAATGTTTCTGTAAGTGTAATCGCAGTTACAGTTTTGAAGGTTCTCAGAATGCTGTAAATCATGTTCACTCCTTACGGTTAAGTTGGCTTCGGAAGAAATTAATGGTACCCCAAGGCGAAGGGAAGTAACTAAACCAAAGCATCTGCTGTCACAGAGGGAGATGGCATGCTTCTGGGTGTTGGTGGAGGGCAGATCTGTTGAAAGCTGGGGGAGAGGTGTGATCATCTGGCATTTTTGTTTAGTCTGCGTGTGTTAACTAGCACTCCGAAATGCACCTTGCCTTCGTGCTGGACAGGTTTCAGAGCAGTGACATCTACCTCTCCTAAAGTTGCTCATCTTATACCCCATTCAAATATGATCATTTGTATTACACAACAAAAGACCTAGATTCTAATTCTGGGATTATCTTATATCAAAATTCCCATGAAAGGATAGCACACCTAAGGCCATTGGTTCCAGTGATGCATTTTCCAACAAAAATACAGGTGTTAGGTTTGCACCGTTCTAGACTACTGTGATTCCAGCCATTCAGATGCGGTGGCACTCTAAAAGCCCAGTTGACAGGTGGTGTATTAACTACTTCTAGGTTAAGTTCTGAGAAGGAAATACAGACTGGATTGTGTCACATCTCCAAATCTGGCATTTTCCAAAACATCTAAATCGCAGGTACCTCAATCTGTAGCTACCAAAACCACCCCTGAGTACAAGACAGGACAGATATACATAATCCATGCTCCTGTCTCTTCTCAGTCTTAAGGAGAGGGATAGAGGGGGAGTGGGTGAGAGGTTTTATATAAGGGAAGATCATGTTGGCTAGTTAGACCTAGCCTCTCACAGGAAGATGAATAAATTCATGAAGTGACATAGTGATAAAACTCTAGCATCTTCAGCTAGAAACTTGCTGGCATCGGGTTGATCTTTGGACCCGACTAGAGCCTGAAAAACCTCTTCTCATTTGTTTAACAGGACAGTATCTAGGGACAGACTGGACTGTACCCTCCAATGTGTGTACAGGTGTCTGGTTCAGACTGTTCTTTGTTCTTCATCTCGAAGCTGAGGGCACCTACCTAAGAAACATTGGGATGTTCGTGAGGTTCTTCCGGTGCAAACAAAAATTATTACCTTCAGTTCAGTGCAGAGTTTGACTTCAGTAGGAAAAGCTGTTAACAGCACTCTAATATTAGCTCTTCGACTACGTGAATAATGTTGTCTGTGAATTCATATTTAAAGTCTGCGAGAGGGCTTGTGACTACCCAAGGAGGTTGGGTTTTTTTAGGCTTATAATACTTAGAGTCCTAGAAGCGTGAAATTCCACTTACTTGCTCTGACGCAGACTTTCTTCATCAAATAACAAAGTAGACCTGAGAGCTGTCACATGCTGAGAAGCAGTGATAGCTAGCTAGTATTTACTTCTCACATCCTTTGGCAAGTCTCATTTTGCTGGTGATCGTCCTAAGAGTCATAAAAGATGTCTGAAACAGGATTGAAGACAATCATCTTAATAATGTAATTCTCAAAATCTCCAATAGCCCAGAACTGATCCCAATTCTAATCCCAGTTCCCCTTGATCATTCTCCCTAGAGTTCTCCAGGTGCAGTATCTCATGGGATGACAACTTACTGCCTGCTATGGGAATCCTTTGCCATATTATTTTTGCAGAGCTGTTTCTTATCCATTCTCCTTCTCATCTTGTTTGGTGTCTTTTAGTAACGTAGCAAAAGGTTTTGAGGCTTGCTAGAGCCACGTTTTTTCCTGCCATCTGCCACCAAACAGTTAGATATCTGTGAGGGCTGTGCACAGTGTCAATAGGCACCTTCTCCAGAGGAGCCCGAGTTTGGCAGATTTTGGCACGTGTTGCAAGCTATGGGTCTGAAGAAATCATCTGCTTTGGAAAACACAGTTGCAGGTGAGCATCTCTCCTAGCGGTGCTTTGATTCTTTTTCAATTTACTGAACTTGAAACAGGTATTTCTTCTGAGCATGAAGTTCCTAATCGAGCTGTGCTAGTTAGCAACTCTGCCTTTCATTAACTTGGATGGAATCCAGAAGCTGAGAAAGCTGTTGGCAAACCCTCGCTTTTGGTAGTGCACCCACTGTTCCCTTCAGTCATATAATCATTATATTGTATTACGATTTTGTCTTCCGGTAGGCGGAATAATGCTGGACACGGCGTAGGTGTCCTGTGCTTGTTTGAACCTGAGCAGGGGAGAAATAGTCCCGTTCATAACTGTAACACTTAGTCCTGTCTATTGTTTGTGCATCCACGGCACGCTCTTCGGCTGTATTGCCGAAACTGAAGTACAACAGCCTGTGCCCCTGCAGTTATAGGTGAAGTTGTTGAAGGCGTGTTTTAGTCAGAACTGAAGTAATTCATCTTGGAGCCCTAGCTCTTTTTTACAAGTTAAAAATAGAATCCTTTTCTTTCTTCTAGAAGTAGCTATCAACTGCTCGTTCTGAAACCGGTTGCTATGATTGTTAGTGTATCTTTGATATTTTATTTGTATAGAAATAAAAAACGTCATGCCGCTTTAGGTCATTATCGTAAGTAACAAATCACTGCCAGAATTACAGGATTTGATCCAAAGCTCGGTACAGTCAACAAGACCTACCAGTTGTTTCCAAAAGGCTTTGAAACGCGCTCCGCGTTCCCCATGAACACGGACGTAAGAACAGGCGTACCAACCTCTTGTTACGTGCTGAATATGCTTCGAGTTCCTTGAATTTGTTCCCTATGCTTTTTTCGTTCAGTCACTATTGTATTTTCCCAAAGTGAATTATGGGATTGATACCACATATTGTCAGAATTTTAAAAAGAGAAAGAATTAATAGAATAAGGACCGATCTCCTGAATTGAAATACCATGCATTTAGTTTTTGTATCTTATATTGCAGATAGACTCAACCAACGGGGAGAATCCGAGCATCAAGAAATCCCTCTTTCCTCTTTTTAATTCAAAGAATAATTTAAAGCATAGTTCTTCTTTGAAAAAGCTTCCTGTAGTCACTCTACCCATGGTATTAATTTTTAAGTACAGTAGCACTGTAAAATGGTCCAGTAAACTTGTTTTACTGATGATGGCAGCATGTCTTTTGTTTTCACGGGATCACTTTCTCTTCATGCCAGTTAAGTATCTTGGGCCAGTTCGATAAATTTAAGCAAAATTGGCAGGTCTCTTGAAATAGGTTGTGCCTAAAAAATTTCTTTTTAGTGTTTGGCGTACTGAAAATGTAACATGCGCAGTGCCAGAGAGGATGAGCCCTGGGACTGAGAGTGAAGGAGGAAAGGAGTTGTGAAATAGTGTATGTTTAAAGTTGAACTGTCTTGTTCTGTTTCAACTGGGAAAAAAATTAACCTCGTTCGTTTTAGAACCGCATTGGAAATACATCTTTTCTGCTCCTTTTTATCTAGATTTCATTAATTAGATATTAACAACAGAGTATCTGAAAACTAAATTTTAGCTCATGCGTCTGCTGCATTTTTGTCTGTCCTGACTGTTCATGATAAAAGACAGCTCGTATTAAAAAAAAAGAACTTAACTTCACATTTTGGCTTAGAATCCTTGAAATGAGATACAACTCTACATATTAGTTTTAAATTATCCTTCTGACCTATATTTTGTGGGGTTTTCAGCTGGTTTTGGGGAGTGGGGAGTTTCCTAATTTTTGCATTCATTTGGGATATTTGTGGAGGAGGAGAAAGATGGGGAAAGGAAAAGCTCTTGGTTTTGTGATGGCAAAATCAGAGAGCAGTCAGTTTAGAGTGATTTTTGGTCTGCTTCACTCAGGAACAAATTTATAGAACTGATCCATGGTCTTAACTGCAGTATGGAATGCTTCTTAAATGAAGATGAGCCCCAACAATTTTTGTTTTTTATTTTTTGAAGCCTTGTTTAACTGCTCTCTCTTACAGCAAATGACACTAACAGCATGCGAATGCTTCAAGGGCGACGGGTGTATAGAGCAAATCTGCATGATAGCCACAGCCACTTGCTTTTACTGTGGGGAGAAATACCGAGAGGTCATTGCAACTCTGCTGCCGTAACGGGCTTCACTTGCGTTCCGTAATTCACTGGGGGAGGTGATTTACAGCTCTTCTTAATAATATATTGGGAAACCTGTATTTAATATTTTGTTGCAGATGCCTAGCACTGATGGTCAGGATCTCTTGGCATTACAGAAAGCCATTCATTCTTCTAATCACCAGAGCAGCAGGCAGAAGGATTGGCATCCCGAGAAGATGACGGAAATCCAACCTCATGTAGGTGGCTTTATCAATTCCCTGTATTTTAACATCACGGAGGTACCTTTCCTCTGGTGAATAGGAAAAATACATTTGACATTATTTCCCAACCTCCCCACTCATGGAATGTGAAGAATCACGTGCCTGCAGTCCTGCATAATTCTTTGAAAACCTAGACCTGAATGACAAGGAAAAGAAGGGAGACTAAACGTCCTCCTGTCAGCCTTTGAGCCTCTCAAAACATTCGTTACGTTCCCGCGTTTCGGTGCGTGTCTGTGGCAGCTGCGCAGCGCTGCAGTGAAGCCCTCGAGCCAGCTCGGCGAGGAGCGGTGCGCACACCGCTGCCTGCCACGGTTTGATACCTGGTGGGGTCACCAGAGCAGCGTGACAGGGCAGCTAATGAGTGATAATTGTCTGTGCTTCCATTTTCTTGGGAAATGGGGTTAAAATAAATGATGGCAATGATTTTTTTTTTTTCTCCCTCCCCCACTGTAGAAAAGGTTCCACCTTTTCAGGTAGCTAATAGATTGAATCACGATGAGAAGAGATTCTCTCAGCTGTGTAGTCATAGCTTGGAATGAAATATTCCAAATGAATACACATTAAAAGTGAGGAAGTCCGGTGAAGTTGAAGATGTTCAGTTTAGGATATGAGAGTTTTGCTACAGGAATTCCGCTACAATGGAGAGCAGCAGGTCAAGTGCTTTTCCCCGTCTCTTTCAGAGCCAGCCACTAAAATCTCTCCGAAAGCTCTTACACCTCTCCTCTTCAAATCATCCCGTCCCCGCTGAGCCTCACTTCCAGCCCTTACCAAGCCAGCCGGCCAAACCTTCGTTTTCCGAGGTGCGCATTCACCCCATGAGTCAAAGCTCCAGCAGCGGCAGCAGCAACGTGCGGCAAGAGCCGCAGCCGAAAAGCCGGCCGACGCTGCAGTTACCGAGCCAGCTGGAACCGACCTGGCATGTCTCCCCGGTAAACCGGAGCGCGAGCGACGGGCCTCCCTACTCCGACCAGCTGCCTTCCAAGAGCGGACAGAACGGGCACACGTATAACCGAACAAACCGGTCGCGAATGCCGAACCTGAACGATTTGAAAGAGACGGCCTTGTAATCGCACTCCGGAAAACAGGCCGCTGCGGGTGGAGGTCGGCCTAGGGGCGCGTGGTGGTGGCTCTGGTGATGGTAAGACTGCATTTTCAGCTTTATAAAGGTGTGCAATATGTACGTGTGGAGCTCAGCTGTCCGGCACCACAGTGAGAGTCAGGGATCACACAGTGAAAGGAGTTGAATTCGGAGTTACCGGTCCTCAGCCGCGTTGCTGGATGCCAGGCAGGGTGTGCCGGTCAGGGAGGAAAATGCCTTGCCATTTCCTCTCCTTTACATTCCAGCTTAGCGCACATCTCTCTCTGGGAGCTGGGAGACTTCCGGTATGTATTGGCACTTATAAGGGTGAAAACATTCGTGTCTAGACCTATGCCCTTACTACATTTTTTGCTGCCTAGTTAAAAACAGTGGGGTTGATGTGATAAAAGTGTGTCCCGGTTAAGGGTTTAAAGTTGAATTCTATGTCTTAAATTTGTTTTTTAAACTTCCATATTTGATAGGATTTGTAATATTTATTTATGATGACCTAATATCGTACTGTTATAATCATATCTTTTATGTTATACTGTAAAGTTATTTTGAGCTGTTTGAAACATTGTGAAGCAGTGCAACAGCTACAGTAGTTTCTATAAAAAACTAACAGTAACATTTATATATTGCATCAGGAGTATTTTATTCTATATATAAATATATATATAAATGGAAAATAACTGTCTGTTTTTTAAATATACTCATTTAAAAGAAAAGTATTGTTATGACACTCTCTGCCATATTTTTATACATTTGTGATATAAAGTGCAGTATTATACTTCTAATAAAAGGAAGTTGAATGTGGATATAAACGTGACTGTAACAGTATGAATCTTGCTCAGCTATGAGAGCCCGGTATTATAGACGTCACTGGTAACGAACACAGGACAGCATTCAATTCCAAGCTTTGTTACAGGCTGTTTTGTTGGAAGTATTGGCTAAATGTAAGAGACTGCAGAACTGTACAGTAACCTAAATGTGGTGTGTTCTCCCCTGTGTCCTTAGCTTTCCTAGTAATATTGATGGGATTTCTGCATCTGCGTCAAGAGCACAGAGCCCCAGCACCAAATTTTCGTTCCCTCTAACGAGATCAAGTGCCCCGTGACTACAAGCTAAAGCAGGTGCTCTTCCACTGAATAGCAGGGGTGAAAACCAAAGAAACATAGCATGAATTGCAAGTGAAATGCCAAACTTTGACTCTTACGCATAGCATGGCACTGCAGATCATGGTATAGGCTTTTATGCATACGTGTATTTTACATCTTGTTTAGCAATCTATTAACTAATAAGATAAACACTGTATTTAAATTTAAACTACTCTTGCACTTTTTATTATATTTCAGGACATATTTAAAGCTACAAATCTGATATTTGGATATTGAGGGAGAAGGTTGCCGTGCAGCTGAGTTTCTCCTTAGGTCTTACTATCCGAATATTCCCATATGCAGATCAGTTACCAGTCTCGGCAAAACACTAGATCCTGGGTTCCGGCCTCCTGTACAGCGTTGTTAAAACTGCCTTTGAGTTGGTGAATGTCGAGCGTAGCAAGTACACAACACGATTCCTCTGTTGCTGCCGGTAATCTGAATCAAAGGTGAGCCAGGAGGAGTCAGAATTGTCACGCCAGGCTAAACTTTGTGCAATAAGGGGAGAGTCAGGCCTGTAGTGTCAGAACAATACAATCTTTCCTTTTTAAACACATTAGTTTGACTCCCTCACTGCTCTGCAGCGTAGTTCGTTTCCTAGATGCTGTCCTCACAAGACACCTGTACTTGCAAACACGTTGTCTTTTCCTAACTGAGATTAACCTGAATGTAAATGTGATGATTTAGCCATAGGTGTAGTTATCAGAAGCAGCCAGACCTGAACTTCCTACTTGGGTGACAATGCAAACTGGACGTGCCGTTCGGTACCTCTCGAGTCATACCAAAGTTCCAGCAGCGGCACATTTGGGCACCGCTACTCTGAAAATCTTTGTCAGAAAGCACGTTGTGGAGGGATGTTGTTGCATCAGGTTTCTCCAGGGCTGAGAGTCAGCCTAGTAAATTTGAAAAACGACAAAAGAAGTATTCTTTCTTTGTCAGTTGCCTGCAGGAAATGTGCACGTGATTTTCGCTCTGCGTATATGATATCTTGATATATTTGATATATACTGTGTGGATATATCATATACATAGCATACGGAAATACAGTAGACATGGAAGGGCATTCAGCTTTTGATGAGTTCAGTGGCCATCCAGGAACGGTGCTGTGATAATCACTAGTCATCGCTACCGGAGTTGAGCCGCGTCTTTTCGCAATCTCTTTCGGACCCACCCGTCGGTCGCAGTGAGGTTAGTCCTGTTCTGGGCCTGGAAACGGGCTGATGCCACTGAAATCCCTCAGGAAAGCAGTGTCCGAGAGTGGGGCTCTAAGCAGTGCTGTTTGAATGTCTCCTAGGGAGTGCTGGGACTAGACTCTCCTGTACTTTGTGGATATGTATCCTTTCACCTCGGCAAGAGTTTTAGCTTGCTGGCAAGAGCTTCATGCTGGGGATGCATGGGGCTGTTCTGACTTCTGGCAAGCAAAAGTGTTTCCAAAGGATGTTTTTTCCTCAATACCCATGAAGTTATATCAGAGTAATCTCTGACTGTATATAGATATATCTGTTTGAAGTAGTTAGCAAAGCTTCGAGGGTGACCCAATGAATGTGCAAGTATTTGGTGGCCCATATTTACAGAAAGTTGTTTCTACTTCATACTGCATTTTCTTCGCCCATTCAACAAACCATAGTGGATTTCAGTTGCATCCTGAATCGCTTTAAACGTATGTAGGATTTTCTTCCTTATGGTGGAAAGAACTTCCAGCAGCTCGGCCAGCTGGTGCTGGGATGAACTCTCTATTTTTAACACGGTCCACCTTCCTGAGATTTAGAATATTGCTAATGTAAGTTTGCTGAGGCTTCCTACGGAGTCTTACTATAGCGACTGAGAGTTGCTGGCTCGGTAAAGGAGAAGAGAGTTACAGAGCAAACGGTTTTGTAAGTGTGAGCTTTCTTCTTTGCTGGTCTGTGAGTCTTGTGCTACGTGTTCTGTAGATTTACTTAGGATGGAGTATCTTAGTTAAACTGCCTTTTATTCCTTGGCGATCTGTTTTGCCTTACGGCACCGTTAATGATGTGAATAGAAACTTAAGTTTCAGAAGTGAATTATAGTCATTTTGCAGAACTCAAGCTGCCTAAACTTGTCTCTATGTTTTTACTATAGTTCTTGAGCTCTTTATAACTGAAAAAGAAGCACCTTAAGCTCGTCTCAACTGAAATTGTGTCTATGTTTAAGCTGTCCTTTTAAACTGCCCGTGTAGATGTATTAACCTGGAACAACGTACGTTTTTCAGCAGACAACCACAGACAACAGTCCCTTAGAGCTACTGAACGCTTTGCTTCCTGCTCCGTTTGTCGCAGTTCGAGATTCGTTGCTCCCCTGAGAGGTCGCCAGCACAGAGGACCGGGCAGAGTTCTTGGCAGGAAGTCAGTGATCCCAGATTCGGTCCCTTCTTCCTAGGACATTCCCCTTTCCCCCCTACCCCAGGCTTGGGACTGACTCCAAATTTTGATTTCTGATACCAAGTCAGACCCACCTACGTGGGTGGGTCCTGATGCCGCTGTATCTACAGGTACTCGCTCTTTTAGAGGAACACTAAAGCAGGCTTCAAACTTCCAAACCTACGAGACACCCTCAGGTCGTCCCTGGGCTTGTCGCCTTTCTCTTTGCTACACCAAGTTGTTTCTGGGAGCAAAGCTGGCGTGATTCATCAAGAGGCAGTGTCCTGCGATAGGCTTTTGGCCGTTCCTTGTCGTTGCAGTTTAACAGGTGAATCTCACTGGTGTAAAAAGCTACGTACCAGCTTCTTTTCCTTTTTGCTTCAACATCTGGCGGTGGTGGTAGCTGAGCAGGCTCCCCTGTTCACCCTGGAAAAGCAGTGACTTCTTCACAGCTCAGTGCTGTAGGCCTCCCTTACAAGAACGGGAGCACAAGTCACACAGCACTGCTGTGGTCTGTTCAGCCAAGGCAAAGCCCAGCCCAGACTGAGGGGAGCCACCCGCTGGAAGTGTTGGGGGGTTTTGTTCCCGTTTCAGTCTTCTGTTGTCTTCTGACTTGGTAGTGAGACACGCTTCAAAAATACCTGCGTGTAATTAATGCTCTACGTGTCGAGTGCTGTCGGAGCAGAGCTGGCAGGATATTTGAATCCCAGCCCCACGAAGAGTATGAAAAGGATTAGCCATATGTAATATACTGCAAATTCTGGGGTGGCGGTGAATGTTTGGGTTTTTCATTCCAGCCAGTGTACGTAACACATCTGCTAATGGGGTTATCTCATAAACCGTGCGCCCGGGCGGCTGTCCGCGTGCATAGGCCCACCGTTCGAAACAGGAGTGTCACAGGAGATGATGGGAAAGGTGACGTGCCCTATTTAACCATTCTTAAATGACCTTCGAGTCAGAATTCCCTACACACCTCTTTCCAATGGTGTCATGATATCCACCATTCTTTAACTGGGTTTGTAGTGAATGAGGAGAAAAGCCATTTAACTTTCGGCCTTTGTTAAAAAGGGAGCGATTTGAGCAAACCCTTTTAATATTACACAGCTTGGCGGTTCTAGGTGTTGGCTCCTTTTTCAAAGGGTCAAAGAGCAGCAGTGCGTCAGTGCTCAGGCTCATCGGGCAAGTGAAGGCTTGTCCGTATCACTTGGTTCGGATGTTGTACTGAAACCGAAGGTTTCTCATTCTGCAGTCAAGAAGCAAAACTCCTGAAGATGAAGCAAAGCAAATCTTATAGGAGATCCTGTTACAGTTTGAAGAGAAAAACTGCGGTAGATCATCTGTTCTCTGAGCGGTGCGTCTCAACAGGTACTGCCTGAGACAGCGTAGGCAAATCTGATGGGTTAGGTTTGAGTTTTACTTGCTCCAAGTTCTGCTTTTTTTACCAGAGAGACCCTTGTGTACAGCCGGTTGCTCGGTACACGAATTGGCCTTGGTGAACTCAGTGGAAGATGCAAGAGACGGGTGAGAGGACCAGCCCCGCTATGTTTGGATGCTTTCGTTCCACCAAATCAGATTGCTCAGGCTCTTCTAGAATGTAACTCTGAATATGCAGCCAGGCAAAAGTGACCCTCAAGATGTGGCCCAAGGGTCTGAACATGGAATTTGTGACTTAAGCTAAGAGTGACCCCACACATCTCCTGTCTTCTCTGCAAGTCAATCTACCTCCTCTCTC